CTGTGGTTTCCCTCCCCCCAGCTGGGCGGGGCCTGCGGGTGCGTGAGGAGCCTGGTCCGGCCGTGCTCACCAGGTCTGCGCCCCGGGGGCTGCTGGGTCTTGCACACGGATCCCCGCGTGACTGCACGGAAGAGACATGCTCACGTCCCGCAGTGCTGCCGCGTGCTCTGGTCTAACGACCTCTCTCTGGTCTCCGGGAGGAACCTCGGTGTCCACAGCCGAGTCCCTCCCTCCACCTGGATCCCGTGTCCAGGGCTAGACCGGGGGAGCCAGGAGCCTCAGCGCTGACCCTCAGGGTCTGTCACCGTGTCCGCTGTGTGCAGCCTCGGGGGCCGCAGCCCGAGTCCCACTCGCTCACGTCCCCGTGTCACCGAGAAGCCTCCCTCCCGGCCTCTTCTGAGGGTCGAGTCAGAGATTCTCCGAGACGGGGACCGCAGGGCTTGACGTGTTTCAGGTCCAAGTGCAGCGCTGTGTGAGCGTGTGTGTAAGCGTGTGTGTGTGAGAGTGTGTGTGTGCATGTGTGAGCGCGCGCATGTGTGTAAGCGTGGGGGGGCGGGGGGAGGCTGCGCTGTGAGCCCTGTGGTCCAACCCTGTTTCCTGTTCTGCTCTCTTGTGGTGTAAGTGACTTCTGACAAGTCGGATGTAAAGAATGCAGTTCCATGAGCTGGTGATCGAGATATGAGGCATTGCTGCCACCCACCCAGTCCCTCCCTGCTGGGGTCCAGGGGTCCAGCCCCAGCAGGTCCAGGGGTCCCCAAAGGTGTGGATGGAGCCGGTGAAGAATGAATGACACGGAGACAGCGTTCAGTTGAGGCCCGTGGTCGGCAAACTCATTAGTCAACAGAGCCAATATCACCAGTACAACGATTGAAATTTCTTTTGAGAGCCACATTTTTTAAACTTAAACTATATAGGTGGGTACATTGCTATTAACTTAATTAGGGTCCTCCTAAGGCTTAGGGAGAGCCACACTCAAGGGGCCAGAGAGCCGCATGTGGCTCGCGAGGCGCCGTTTGCCGACCAAGGGTCTAGGGGAGCATCTGAGACAGGCTGCGGATCTTGTTACTGGACGGACACACGTGAATTTCAAACCTGACCTCACTGTTGGGTATCTCCGTGTTTCTGGGCAAGTTGGTGAGCCTTTCACAGCCCTGTTTCTTTTTATTTTATTTTAATTCTTTATATCTTTTTATTGATTTCAGAGAGAAAGGGAGAGAGAGATAAACATCAATAATGAGAGAATCATGGATCTGCTGCCTCCTGCACAACCCACACTGGGGATGGAGCCTGCAACCGGGTGTGTGCCCTGACCGGGAATCGAACCCTAACTTCCTGGTTCATAGGTGGACGCTCAACCACTGAGCCACGCCGGCCGGGTTCTCAGCCCTGTTTCTTCCTGTATATTTCACAGCTGCTCAGTGTGTGTGTGTCTGAGTGTGTGTGTGTGTGTGTGTGTGTGTTTCTGGTCTTGGAAGTGAGGCCACGGTGGGTGCTGTGCTGGAATGAAGCTTTATTTTCCCGGCCAGACCGTAGCTGATGGGCGTGGCGTTGGCCCGCCGTCCCCGGAGCGTGCCCTGGTGGTTTGCAGATAGGATCTGATCTGGCCCAGGCCGGGCGGTGGGGCGGGCAGGTTCCGTCTCTGGCTGAGGCTGTCTGGCGCCGAGCCCGGAGCCCGGAGCCCAGAGCCCCACATCGCCGTGCTGAGTAATGTTTGCTGAGCAAATGCACAGAGGCCGTCCGGCAGCCGGGCCGTCTGCTGCTGCCCACCCTTCCTTCTGGGCGGATGGACACACCCTCGGGGTTCGGGTGCTGCCCTGGCACGGTCAGCGCTGAGCAGCCGTCAGGCCTGCGCCTCACCTGCAACGAGCATCATGGGCCAGATCCTGGGTCAGATGAGTGTGGCTTCTCTCTGGAGCCTTTGGGGAGCAGAGCTGGGGGCGGGATTGCTGTCGGCAGGAGGGGACCCACGGCCTGTGGCTCCTCGGAAACCCGCATAGAGGCCAGGAGAGACTCGGCTGCTGGCCTCCATTTTATCATCCCTCTTCTCTCTTTTTGGCTGTTTATATAGATTTTTTTTTGAGAGAGAGGGTTAGGAAGGGAGAGGGAGGGAGATAGAAACATCCACAATGAGAGAGAATCACGGCTGCCTCCTGCACGCCCCCTACCCCCCCACTGGGGATCGAAACCCCGGATTGTGCCCTGACCAGGAATCGAACCGCAACCTCCTGGTTCATAGGTCGACTCTCAACCATTGAGTTGCACCAGCCGGGCTCGGATGCAGCTTTTGAGTCTGTGATGACTGTCAGGTGAGACGTACCCACGTTCAGACCATCAGGTGTGAGATGTGGCGAACATCAGCTCTGACGTGTGTGGCGTGTGCAGTGTGTGGTTTGTATGGTGTGTGCGGCGTGTGTGACATGTGTGGTGCGTGCGGCGTGTGCGGCGTGCATGGTGTGTGCGGTGTGTGGCGTGTCTGGCGTGTGTGGCGTGTATGACGTGTGCGGTGTGTGCGGTGTGTGTGGTGTGTGTGTGGCGTGTGTGGCATGTATGGTGTGTGTGGCGTGTATGTAGCTGAGGAGGCCCAGTGACATAGAAACACATTTTGCTCCAGAGCTGCCCGAGCAGCCCCCTCTGCTTGCTTTAGTGTGGCCTCCGCTGAGTGACGGGCGCCGCTCGGTGCTGGTGGAGAGAAGGCAGAGGGATGAACACAGGCGAGCAGGCCGGTGTGTGAGGACAGGAACGCCCGGCCTTAGCGAAGCCTCGCGCAGGGTTTTATGATGCGCAGTGTGGCTTGCAGAGCACGCTCACAGCTGGTGCGGGGACGCGGATGGAAGGTGTGACTGACCCAGAGAGGAGCTGTTAAATGTTTTGTTTCAAGGCATCTGCTGAGTGGATGTCGTGCAGATGAATTTAATTAAAATGCTTTCGCCATCTAGTTCGCTGGGAAAAGGAAAGCTAGACTGGCCGCATGGTGCAGGCAAGCAGGGGCTGGAGAGGAGGCAGCGTTTCCGCTTGGCGGGGCGGCGCGGTTTCGTTTGGACCGGGACCAATGCGGGCAGGAGGTGCCTGTCCGGATCGCCCTGTCCGAGGGTCACACGCCGACTCCTCTTCCTCAGGCCGGTGGCTGAGAACCTCTCACGCCGGACCTCCCGGAAGCCGTGTGGCAGAAAGAACCAGCGAAGTCCGTTCCCCCAGACGAGAAGGGGGTGCGTGTGGGTTCGTTACATGACGCATGGAGCTGAAGCTTCCTTTTGGGAAATGGTGGGAGCATTTCTTCCGCTTCCTGTTTTGTTGTGGTTGGTCCTCGCCCGAGAATGTTTTCCCATTGTTTTTTGGGGGAAAGGGACGGGGAGAGACAGAGAGAAATGTTCGTGTGGGTTGAGCCTGCAACCGAGGTGCGTGCCCTTGACCGGAACTGAACCCGGGACCCTTCAAGCCGAAGGCCGGTGCTCTAGCCACTGAACCACACCGGCCAGGGCTGGAAACGTTTCTTTTGTATAAATTGGTCAGTACAGACCTTTGCTTATATTCAGGCTTCACATGCAGAGTCCCTTAACAAGCCTGGGTTACACTAGGGGTAAGCGCGGATGCTTGATTTTGGAGGAGCAAGCGAGCGTTGATCTACACAGGCAGGGAGCGTGTGAAACCCTGCAGTCGCATCTGGGCATGGCGGGGGGGCGGGCAGAGAGCCCTTCTTAGGACGGACTGTGGCTCTCGGCTCCTCCGGCTCCTCGCAGTTCCCCTGGCAGGAGGGGCGGGTCTTCTGCCTCAGGGGCTCCGACGTGTGCGTGGTTCGGGAACAGAAGCACTAACAGGGTCTCTCAGGTAGTTCCACGTGGTAGACAATGCTTCATGACTGTGCCCCAAACACTCGGCCGGGCACCCCTTAGTGCTTATGGATCGAGCAGGAGGTGGATTTTAAAAATACATATATTTTTTATTGATTTCAGGGAGGAAGGGGGAGGGGGAGAGAGAGAAACATCAATAATGAGAGAGAATCATAGATCGGCTGCCTCCTGCACGCCCCACACTGGGGATCGAGCCCATAACCTGGGAATGGAACCCTGACCTCCTGGTTCATAGGTCAACACTCAACCCCTGAGCCAGGCCGGCTGGCGTGGGAGGTAGATTTAATAGGTTATGTATGTGTCATCGGGTGTGTGGTGAGAGGAAGGGAAAGTGTGAGGGGTCCTTTGTCGGCCTCGAGGGAGACCGCGTGGGCTCAGTGCTTCCCGCAGGAACACGCTGCTGCTGGGTACGTGGCAGGTGGGCATGCACGTTACGGGCGGGCAGCGGTACTCAGGGCCCCCGCCACCTGAACGGCACAGCCTGGGCCGCGTGTGAGCTGCGACCGCGTGTGACCTGCAACCGGCTGCTTGTAGCCTGGCCCCGGTTACTCTGCCTCCTGCTTTCAGGAGGGTCCGGAGGAGCCAGTGCGATGCTGCCTGGTCAGTGACGCCTACGGTTGGCAGCAGGTGCAGGATCCAGTATTAATAACAACAGGGTGTGTAATCATCATGCTGTTATTAACCGAGATTCCAGCCCGGCCGGCGTGGCTCGGGTTGAGCATCGACCTACGAATCAGGAGGTCACCGTTCATTTCCCGGGCGGGGCACATGCCCAGGTTATGGGCTTGATCCCCAGGAGGAGGCAGCCGGTCGATGATTCTCTCTCATCATGGATGTCTCCATCTCTCTCTCTCCCTCTCCCCTCCTCTCTGAAATCAGTAAAAATATATTTTTTAAAATAGAGATTCCAGGCCCTTGGCCTGGCGGTGAGCACACGGAGCCCGGATCTGCCCACGCCAGAGCGCCTGGTGGGAAAGGCGGGCGGCGCCTGGTCGTCGGGACGGGGCTGCCTGGCAGCAGCTGGCCTGCCCATGAACTTCCAGGGCACCGGCTGCCTGGACTTGGCATTGCGGAGGGAGCAGCTGGAAACCTTGATGAGGGTGAACTCTCTGCTCCTCAATTAAAAAGGCTGACTTGCCCGTTGCCAAGGGGATGCCGTCTGGGGACGGCTCCAGATCCCCGGAGGCCGGGGAGTCCCCCCGAGCTCGGGCCACACCAGCACCAGGTGGTCAGTGCCAGCTGCTCGCCTGCCCAGCAGGACGTTGGCCTCGGACCTGGTTTTTGTTTTTTAAATGTGTTTTTATTGATTTCAGAGAGGAGGGGAGAAGGAGAGGGAGAGAGAGAAACCTCAGTGATGAGAGAGAATCATGGATCGGCTGCTTCCTGCACGTTCCGCACTGGGGATCGAGCCCGCAACCGAGGCATGTGCCCTGACCGGGAATCGAACCATGACCCCCTGGTACATGGGTTGATGCTCAGCCCCTGAGCCACGCCAGGCCGGGTGGACCTTGCTTTTGCCCTGAGTGCATCTGTGGACTTGCTGGTGCGCCTGTTACAAGGTGTCTGAGGCCGTGAGGCTGGGTGGGAGGAACATGGATGGGCGCTGGTGCCTGTGTTCCAGGGTTCGAGTCCCATCCGTGCTGCTTCCTGGCTCTTGTCTCCTGTCTCCCAAGTGCCCTCAGGTCTCAGCATCCTCATCTGAAATGTGGGGAGGATACTGTTCCCAAGTCAAGGAAACTGTTCAGAGGGCCCAGGGCCAGGACCAGGCAGGGTGGCTGGTCAGTGGGTGGGAGCCGCCCCCGTTACTCCTGCACATGCTCCCAGTTCCTGTTGCTGTCTCGTCTCCTCCTCCTTCCTCTCCACTTGCGCTCAAGTCGTGGATCCGGGGCACTGTCCCTGTTTGGCCCCAGTCCCCGCGCCCTCCACACACTCTGTAACCTCTGATAGCCTCGGGCGACGTGCCCCGGCTCTTAGGCATAATCGTGCCCACTTATCCGAGGTCGGACTTGCAGCCACTCGCCGTCTGGACCCCCTCTAGGAGCCGAGATCAGAGGAGCTCGCTCGGCGGCCCTGGAGTCCAGGCCCCGCGGTCAAGTGGGGGCCGATGGGAAGGAGGGGCGGCTGAGCGGACAGAAGCCGGCAGAGCGGGCTCCGTGCAGTGGCCAGAGCTCTGCATCCCACGCTGACCATCCGGGCGTCATAAGCGAGGCAGCCTTCGGGCTCCCGGTGGTCCAAGTGTCGAGGCGAGATCGCACCCACACTCCATTGGAGAAGGCAGGAGCCTGGCCGGCGCCTCCGTGGGTGAGCCTCTCTGTCTCTCCCTTCCTCTCTCTAAAATCAATAAAAATATATTTACAAAGAGAGAGAGAGAGAGAGAGAGAGAGAGAGAGAGAGCTGCTCTCACACGTCTCCTCTCCCCTGTGTGCGTCACGTGGTGGATATGCGTGGCTCGATCCTGTTCCCTGGGGAAAGCGCCTGCTTCTCCCCCATTGTCTTCTGGGCCTGGGACCGCGGGAGGCTGACCTCACTCCCAGCCGAAGGTCACCTTCCCAGCCTCCGCTGCTCCCGCCCCAGGGCTTCTGGGTCCAGCCCAGCGTGGGCCACCCCCCTCCTCCCACTTCCTTCCGTGACGGTGACGAGGGCGCACCTTCTGCTACGAGGTCCCTGTTTGTTTGGGAGGATCCCCCGAGACAGCGTCTCCGGCCTTGTGTCTGAGCTCCTCACTCGGTGCTGGGGCAGAGCCAGGAGGCGTCTGGGGGCCCAGGCAGGCGCCCTGCCCTGCGTCTCCCCCAGGAAGAGAGCACCAGGGCGGGCACTGGGGGGCCTTTGTGCTGCTGGTCTGCTCCCCCAGATCTCCCAGAAGCTCCCCCCTCCCCGCCCCCCAACACCAGGGTGGGCAACTTCAGGAGCCGCCGTTCCCTGTCATCTGCTTCCATGTCTCAGGCGTTCACCGCTGCCGTGTGCAGGGCCGGGGTCCAGGGCGGGCGGTGGCACCGGGGGCCTCGGACTTCGCGAGCCCCGAGGCTCCCGACAACACGGCACCCTTCACAGTCACGGCCTGTTCGCGCTCCACCCGCCGTTCTCGCGAGTGGAACCTCCTCGCTGTCGTCAGAATTCAGCCCGTCGGGGGCCGGGTCGTTGGCGGGGTTGTTCCCAGGTCGGGCATTTGTGCTGCTCTCCCATTTCCTCTCAGCTGTACATGCACCTAAACAGATGCAAGGTCCCCTTCTTCGGCCTATTTAGGGCTCAGTGGTTGAGAGTCGACCTGTGAACCAGGAGGTCATGTTCAATTCCCTGGCAGGGCACAGGCCCCGGGTTGTGGGCTCCACCCCCAGTGTGGGGCGTGCAGGAGGCAGCCCATCCATGACTCTCTATCATTGATGTTTCTCTCTCCCCCTCTCCCTTCCTCTCTGAAATCAATCAATACCTATAAAGTCGTTGTGTTAGAACCAGGACTTACGACGCTGCCGAGTGTGGGTTTGGGAGGTGACCCCGGGAACTGGAGCCCAGAGCCCAGGGCCCGTGACTGCAGCGGGCGCTCTGTTACAGGCGAGAGGCGCTGCAACATTTTTATGGTCAAAACTCAGGATGAGCAATCGGTACTGTTAGCGAGTGTCTGCCGCGCCCGGAGACGGCCAGGCTCTGCCCTGAGGGCGTCACTTTGTCTGTGCAGGAGCCCTGTGGTCAGTGTCCCTATCCCAGGACCCTGCGGCCCCCTCCCGGACAGCTCAGAGTGGGCCGCCGGCCTCCTGTGGGTTCCCTGGTGGGAAGGAGCCTCTCCCGTCTCCTGCGTGGACGCGGAGCTGTGTTAGACCTCGGAGCCGCGTCCCTGAGCACGTCGTGTGTGCATACCCCAGCTGCTGCGGCTGGTGGCTGGTCGGTAAACGTTTGCTGAATGTGAAATACACAAGAGTGTCTATTTCATCAGTCGCCCTTGCAAAGGAGGTCTTGTCCCCCCACATCCCCCACACCCGGCCCCCTGCTTTCTGGAGAGGAGTCCGAGGCCTGGCAGGGATGGGGACACGCCTTCCAAGCCAACAAACGGGTATGTTGGGCCTTTCCGAGTCCAGCGTGGGCCTGCCTCCCGCTGCCCGGCTGCCTCTGGCCGGGAGGGGGCGCTGGCCCAGGTGGCGTCCGGGTGGGGTGACGGCAGTCCGCCCACCGCACTCCAGCCGTGCACCTGCCTGCCACTGTCCTGGAGCCCACGCCTGGCCCGGCGCCTGGCTGGTTCCCAGGGGGAACGGAGGGCCGTCAGTGGAGTGGGCTAAGAGGTCCAGGTTATCACAGGAGGCCAAGTCCGGCAGAGGGTGTGTGCAGGGGCAGCTCACACGCTTCAGGTGGGCGAGGCCCGGGAGGGGTCAGCGTTGAGGGCGGCCTGATCCTCACGCCACACGGGATTTGTCCCGCGAAGCAGACGCGGCGGCCTCGGAGTGACCCTCACGTGGCCGCCCTCCGGTAGCCGTGACCGGAGCCCGCACCCCGTGCTGATGAGTCTGTCCTCTCGTTTCAGGCTCTGGACGTGGACCGGATGGTTCTGTACAAAATGAAGAAATCCGTGAAAGCCATCAACATCTCCGGGCTGGGTGAGTCGCCTCCTGGGCTTCTCCGAGGGCAGCACCGCCCTGAGCCCCAGGCCGCCGGCTCCGTCACTGTTAGCGAATAACCGACTAAGTCCCTCCCTCCCCTCCTTCCTTCATTGATTTCAGAGAGGGAGAGAGAGAGATAAACATCAATGATGAGAATCATTAATCGGCTGCTTCCCACATGCCCCCTACTGGGGACCGAGCCCGCAACCCAGGCCTATGCCCTGACTGGATTCAAACCTGGGACCCTTCAGTCCACAGGCTGATGCTCTATCCACTGAGCCACACTGGCCCGGGCTCTTTATTTTTAAATAAATATTGTTGAAAGTATTACACATGTCCCCTTATCTCCCCCATTGACTTCCTCCAGGCCTTGCCCCAGGCCCTCACCGCCCCATTGTCTGTGTCCCTGGGTTATGCAGACAAGGTCTTTGGGTGACTAAATCTCCTTTTTTCTGGGCGTGCATTTACAGAGGTGAGCTGGGGTGCTTACATTTGAGAAGTGTTTCTGCTTTGCTCATTGTCCGCTCCTGGTGTGGGGTCCTGTCCCGCGTCCCCCACCGTGCCCCACATTGTACGTCTGTTCCCTGGGCAGCAGAACCAGCTTCGCCACGCTGGTGGGCCAGCGCGGGCCCAGTCCTGCCCTGTTCCTCACATTGTGCGGCTAATCATTCCGATGCCCTTCCCACTACTCTCTCAGCCCGATTCTCGCCTTTCTAGTTTGGGAAGAAAATGAATAAATATTAGCGTATAGTCAACTATTCCACGTAATATTCGGTCTAGTCTTATATAAATAAGTTTCTTTTTAAAAGAACACATACCGCCACCTGGGACTTCACGGTCCCAGGCTGCACATGTGGCAGGTCAGCCTCCTGCACAAAACCTGACAACGGATAGAAAATACAGTTTGTAAGTCATCAAGTGACTCTGTCGTTCACTCAAAAGCCAGTGGCAGCCTTAGGGGACCAGACACTGTGAGGGATCCCCGAGAGAGCGGAATCGGGCCGATGGATTGCGGAGACGGGGAATCGGGCTGATGGATTGCAGAGACGGCCCGTGGGGAGAGCACCCCACCCTGAGGATGGAGACAGGCAGGGCCTGAGGGAGGCGCCTGGGCGGGGGGAAGGGAGGGGCGGGGGCTGCCCACTGGCTGCACTGTCCCCTTCATCCTCCCTCACAGGGTCTCCCTCCCAGGCTGGGGATGCTTTGGGGGTCGTGCTGTCAGGAGGGAGCGTTCTGGACGTGTGTGTCCACCTAACCTCCCACACCTCCAGGTAAAGTCCTGTGAGCTGTGTTTGCCTCCCCCACGGAGGGCCATGCAAGCCAGCATCCCAAAGAGCCTAGTGACCATCAAGAATTGCCAAATGCATTCAGGATGGGATTAAACAAACAAAAATATGTAAAAACTCTGTACTGAAAACTATAAAACCCTGTGACCGAAACGAAAGGCCACGGATCTGGTGCCAGGCTAGGCCCGTAGGGCACGCTCCACCTTCAAGGCTGGCTCTGCCCTTCAAGACTGGGCTCTGCGGGGCCGGGCTAGGCTCTGAGGGTCTGAGGTGTGGCTCTGAGGCTCCGGGGCTCGGCTAGACGCGGGCTAGCCTCTGTCTTGAGTGCAGTCACGCTGCCCACAACACATCACAGCTTTGTGCCGTGTTGGCCGTGGCACAAAGTGAGTACGAAGGGTCGGAGCAGCAGAGTGGCCTGCAGGGAGCAGACACTCGTTCCAAGCCCCATTCCTTCGACGTCCACCGTGGGCCAGCCCGAGAGCAGCGGCTGCCGGGACTGGTTTCCCGTCCGTGTCCGCCCGCTTCACACGGCGTCTCACACACGGTCACGACCTTCCCTGGAGTTACTGTGATCAGGAGCAGGGACCCTCCGTCTGAGGCATTCTTTCTGGGCCGCGCCCCCTTCACAGGGACCAGACCCCTTTGAGAGAGTCCAGAGGCCGTTCAACTCAAACCCACGCAGGCTGGGGGGCAGCCCCGGTCTCCCCAGCTTGCCTCCCAGGAAAGGACCCTTCCTGAGCCCATGGTCTCGGAGCCAGAGGCTGAGAGGGCTGCTGACCACTGGGCCGCACTGGCCGGGCCCGCCCAAGCTTCACGGTGCCGATGCGATTGCGAGAGGAGCGCGGTCTCAGCCTCTCCCAGGTTACCCGCCTGTGAATCCCTCTCCTCCTGGGATCGGCCCGCGGGAGCCTCAGGTTGGTGAACGCTGCAGGACCCCGGTGCGCCCGGCTCCTTGCACCCCGACCCAAGCCCCTGTGCCGAGGCCCCTTCCCCTCCCCGCGTGCCTGGTGCCCCCGGAGGGCCTCCCCGGTGCCCTCTCCCCCTGCGCTCGCGCTTTGGCGCTTCATCAGAGGAGGCTGAGGCTCCCCCAGCGCCGGGCGCCTGCCGTGCCCTCTCTGAGCCGCACACGCAGCAGCCGGCTCGCGGGAAGGCCTCCTGTTCTTGTCACCGCTGCCGTCTCTGCGTCGTGCCCGGCGTGAGTTATTATAAGGCCGTGAGCCTGCATGTTCCAGGCCGGGCTGCCTGGTCCTGGAGTCTTTATGCCGAGCAAGTACCGTCTCCTTCGGAACGGCCGCCCGCGAGGCCTGGCCTTCTGCCCGGACATCGCCAGCGTCACTCCGCATCTTTGGAAGCTGCTCGGGGACGGCGGGCAGCCGCCCTTGGAGTATATTTAGTGAGGAGCCTGAGGGGAGACGGATCTTTTTAGAAGGAGACGTCAGCCGTCAGCGAGGCAGGCTGCACAGGGGACTGAGCTGCTGGGACCGCAGCAGGTCCGGTGCGTTACAGCCGTGCTCACCGGTTCTGAGGGCGTCAGTCCGGGGCCCGTGGCGTCCAATCACTGTGTGCATACGTGTGCATTGTATGTACCCGCTGTCCGTGCTCAGTGTCGGAGAGATGGGCTTACGCTGTAGGTGTGGGCAGTGTGGTGACGGCAGAATGTCCTGCTGTGTGAAGTTCACACAGGTTTCTTGAGAAGGGATCGGAGGTGCCTTGAGCAGCCGGCTGTGTTTTTACAGTCCGACCTGGGACCCATACAGCAACCCCACGTGTGCCCACGCCTGCCTCAGGGCAGCGGTCTGACCTTCAGAGGACCCGGGTGCCGGGCGGTCCTTAAGACACCGATAGCGGCCCACCTTCAGAGTTTTGGCTCAGTCGGTGCAGGATGGAGCCTGAGTGTTTGCCCATCAACTGAGGACTTGGGTGATGCTGAGGCTGCTGGCCTTGGAGCGTATACCTGAGGCACACACTCGCCATGTACGCGCACACACTCATACACACGCACACACTCGCCACGTACACGCACACACTCGCCACATGTACACACACACACACGCACACACTCACCACGGACACGCACACACTCGCCACGTGTACACGCACACACTCGCCACGTGTACACGCACACACTCGCCACGTGTACACGCACACACTCGCCACCGTGTACACACATGTACATGCACACATGTGCACATGCACATGGATTGGACCAAAAAAGCACCAGCAAGCCCCCCTCCCCCACCCCACCCCGCAGACAAAGTGATCGTTTTCTTACACGATAGTAGGTCTGTTTTTTTCTAAAGTGGTTATTACAGTGATTTGTTGAGAAACGGTTTCTGCGGTAATTTTCCCCGATCACAATAGGCTGCTGCCTGGCCCCGTTTAAGAAGCCGGCTTGTGTTTATTCTAGAACTTGCGCTGGGCTAGGTTCCCCGAGGTGCCTGCGGGGACGTCAGAGCTGTTTCCTCATGTGTCTCTGGAAGGAGGTCCCGTTGTGGACGTGGGAGAGGAACCTCACGTCTGGGAACTGAAAGTTCGTGTGGGAGGGCCCTGGAGGCGGGCATCCACGTCGGGTGGGGGCGCAGGAGAGGCACGTCTGGGGGCGGCCCCAGGACGAGGAAGTGAGCCGGCCATGGGCAGGTTCCACGGAGGGTGGCGGCCGGCTCTGAGGAAGTGGGGCAGGGGAGCCTGGGTTCTGCTGGCCGAGATGTGGGTCTGAGGTTCCGGCTATCTCTCGTCTGCTGGTTAAGAGTGACCGTCGGTTTTCGGGGGGTGACTTGGGGGATCCTATCGGCCAGGATCGACCCTTAGTCACCGGAGGAAGCTGAGCTGGAGGCCACGCCGATTGGTGCGTGCCGTCCCCGGGTCAGCAGGAGCCGTGTTGGGGTCATCCTGTTACGGGCAGGGGTTTAGGCTGCTCTGGGCGGGGCCTTCTCGCCCGGCGTGTGGGTCTGCGGCGGCCTCAGGAATCTGCACCCCAAGGTGTGAGGGGTGATGCAAGCATGCCTTTTCCTGAGGAGCGCCCCAGGCGTCCTGACCGTTAGTGGGGTCTGTGGCCACCGGAAGATTCAGGAAGCTCAGAGTGGGCCTGGCCCCGAGGGTCACAGGAGATCCGTCTGGGCCGGCTCTGCCTCACGCACTGGGAGACGCAGCTGCGTCAGCGGCAGGTGTGTCCCAACCTGTTTCCTCATCCCGCAGTTGTCAAGATGCAGCTGTGTGTATGCGTGTGCTGTGTCCCGTGTGCTGCGTCCCGTGTCCTGTGTGCTGTCCCGTGTGCTGTGTCCCATGTACGCCAGCCCTCGACCGCACACCAGGGCGGATTGCCGGTGCACGCGTACCTGTGTCTTGCTAGTGTGTCGGCAGGTGCCCATCTCGTGCAGAGGGAGTGGGGTTGTGTTGAGTTGCTCACACAGGCCTCCGGCTGTCATTTTTGTCGTTAATGTAGGGTAGGGTCAAAGGATATGGGGCCGTCACAGCGCAAGTTTTCACTTCCTTATAGGCGGCCTCACCTTGACCTCACCGACCCCATTGCTGGACACATGCAGCCAGGAGGCGTCCTTGTGGTGACCTCTATGGTGACCTCTATAGGATCGGTGGTGTCAGAGGTCAGAGGGGAGGCCCAGGAGAGACAAAGGAGATGAATGAGTTTTGAATGGAGGTTGGGAAGTAGAAGGAGCATGGCTGTGGGAGGAAGTGCAGGTGCCAAAGCCAAGC